TATTCTTTTCTTAGGTTTTATTTTCAAAAAGCTTAATTACAATGAACAGAACAAAAGAAATAATATTGCTTTTATTTAGGAATGGAAAAAAGCATTTTGACATTTATGGTGCTCAAGGGTTTTACATAACTTAGAAAGAAATAGAGATAAATTATGAGCAATTAGAAGAGATTTTGCTTCTCTACATTTACTCTATATCTTATTTCCTTAGAAATATTATATATCAACATTCACATTATAGGAATCAAATTTTAATTAAAGAAAATAAATGAGTAAATGCATCTAATGCACTGCATTGAAAGGCCAGAAGTTTAAATCGGTTCAGCAATTCCTTAGTGCACTATCCAAGCATTAGAACCATAAGTAATTTCCTTTCCCTTTAACCCAGAAGCAAATAAGTTGATCAGAGCAGTTTTAACTTCCATTATATCCATTCTGAATGGGGCAATTATTTTATTATTCAAATGCTTGTGCTTTCTCAAACACTAAAAGATGATCCTATGTTGTAGAAGAAAATATCTATTCTATGGCACAAATTAATCACAAACAATTTATATTTTTCTGCACCTCATTATCTCATTTTTTTTTTTTACTTTGTAAGATAGCAGTTGGAAGTATACTAAGACATGAAGTTTAATACTCAAGAAAACAAGTTTTAAATGTCCTTTTAGAAATATTTTCTTAAAAATCTAGAAAAAACAAAAATTGATAAGTGACTTAAATAGATCTTAATTTATCTTCATGATTAGTATACAATTAGAATACACATTTATGTCACCAATTATTTTTATTTAAATGAATTTAATTATACTGTTAGAAATACTAAACAAGTTCAATTGTGTCCTCAGTTCTAAATTTAATCTGAGCATCAGAGGTAATGACACTTTAAAAGGAAGTTAAAATATATTGTTTATTATTTACCTTTTGAAATCAAAAGGAGTGCTAAGGAAACTGATATGTTTTTATGTTTCTGTGTGTATGTTGTGTGTATATGTATATCTATGCATATGTTATGTGTATATGTTATGTTTTGTTTGTGTATATAGTTCCAGCAAGTTCAGGCCAGTATTTTACCAGGTAAATCAAGGTCTATTAAGAATATTTTGATCAAATATAGGATATATTAATTATTGTTTTGAAATATCTATTATTTGGTATGTACTATTTTAAGTGTAAGCTGCTAAAATTTGAATTAGTTACTATTTGGAATTTTACTTAATGAAATAGTTAATATTTAGGTATTTTATGTGGATTTCTGGATAAGAGATCTTTAAGAAACTTTACTAAAATTAATTTAAAATTCATTGTGTGAACTATTTATGAGAAACTCTCAGAAGGTTAAGGTTGACCTTGGCCTTAGTGAAATAATTCCTTAGGTTTTGAACCCATTAAACAATTTTTATTTTTATCTTGACTTACATGCAAGTCTATAGAGCTTTATCTCCAGTGTATGTGCATGTAGAAACCAAGATGGGGGAAGAGGAGTGAGAAAGAGGAGGAGGAGGAAAGGAAGGAGGAAGAGAAGAAAAACAATGGACAGCAAATTGTAACAAAATCAGGAGGCTCTCTTACTAATATCTATGAGCAATGTCAAGAACTGTGGATGGCTTGTGACTTTACCCTACTTTCTAGCAAAAAAAGCCTGCCACATTGTCATAGAAGTTGGCAGAAGACATCAGACATGGGATTTTATTACTCACAGTCTGGCAATCAATATGACTTTCATGTTCATGTCCCTACTGGGTCCAATAGGAAGTATAGAGAGGTAGGTTCAAGAATATGTTGGCCACATTAAATTGAGGGCACTTAGGAAACCCCAATCCTTTACTAGGTGGCTGTAAGCAAATCTACCTAAACTTTGCTTTAAAGGCAGACATGATTGTAAGGGACAACAAACAAATATGCCCCTTGTCCCGGACAGAATTGTAATTTCAATTTTTGAAGGATTTTGCTATAGACGCATTCTTCAAGGTAGTCCTGAAAACCTGCACAATGTGTACTTTAAGTGATTGTAGCTAATACGTATTAAATACCTAAATCAAGGACACCAATATTACCTTTCTGAATGGCTTTTGGTACAAGTGAGATGACACATGTACAAGTGCTTAGTATTGAGTGAGCTAAATCACTGCTGGCTTCTATTATTATATAATATTCAAGCACATACTGAGATATATAACCTTTAATGCCTGAGCATCTGTCCTCCATAATAAAAATGATATATGCTTACTTTTTAAATGAACTTTATTATTTTTAAAAGGAGTTTTGGGCTCAGAACAAAATTATCAGGAAGATACAGATTTCTCCTTTCCTCCCACTGTCAATGTCCCAAAGTGGAGTGGTACATTTGTTACAGCTGACATATGTGCACTGATACATCATTACCCAGAATCCACAGTTTACATTACGGCTCACTGTTGGTGTTGCACATCATATAGGTTTTGACAAATACATACTGACATGTGTCCGCTACTGCAGTATCACATAGAATAGGCTTCCTGGCCTAGAGTCTGTGCTTTGCCTATTCATCCCTTCCTCTCCACTAACTTCTGGCAACCACTGATCTTTTTAGGCCCACAGTTTTTCCTTTTTCAGAGTTTCACATAGTTAAAATTATACAAACTATATGCTTTTCAAAAGGACCTTACATGTTAGGAAAGTACTTTACAATTGAGTTACATTCTGAGCCTGTATTTAAGCATATTTTATATATCATTTAAAATTGGATAGTCTATACTGGATCCCATGGGGATCTGCTCATTATGACCACTCAAGGACACAAGTTGATAAGAGCCAACATGTTGTTGTCATGATTTAAAAAGAAATAGGGAAGGTCTCACACTCTACTTCTGCTTAAAAGTCATTACCAGAGTGAGTCAGTCACATGCCTTTACCAAATCACAAAGTGGGTCAAGAACAGCAAACCTACAATATGCCAGGTAGGCAGAGCTGGAAATGTTTGGCAAACAGCATTCTCGACTACCAGTTTATACTGGAGTTAGAATAAGAACCAACTCAGGAGAAGTCATTTTTGCCCCATTTAAACAAAGAAAATGAAATGATTTAAAAAAATTTATTCCAGAGATTAATCAAAGCAATTAAAAAGGACAAAATTATCAACCTTTATTACATACTATGGTTAACATTTTCCTTTTTGCATATTATGCCAAAAAGACAAAACACTTGAGTGTAGCCTCTGGGGTAATAATTGAGGTATTCTGATATTGTTGATACAAAATCATCTTTTTTCTAATTGTTGTTGTTAAATTGGGGTAATACTCAAATTTAACTCCACCAAATTGGTTAGTAATGTTATATTAAATGCAACAGTGAGCTGAAAAGGTTATTCTTTCTCTGTACATGTGCCATTTCAAAGCCAATTTATTTATTATTGGCTCACTTTTTACTGACTGTAGTATTTCATTAGGTTATGTGTTTTCCCTGTGATTCTAGTGAACACTGATATCAAAATATTATCAAAGACATGAGCTCTCTTTGTATATATCACCAGGGACCAATAATTTTCTTTTCAAAAGATAACATATCATACATAAATCATATTAAATAAATACTAAAATCTAAACTATAGAAGTTTAGAAATGTATTTCCGAGGCTAAAATTTTTTTAAATACATAAGGACATTATTTCCATCAGAAAGAACGTGAGTTGAAGAGAAAACATCCTTTAAAAATGTACAAAAGTTGTTCCTGTCAGGTGATCTACTAATTGGGAGAGGAATTACAGGCCATGAATACTTTCTACTTTACTCTCCTTTTCTGGTGGCAAATGACTGCCTAACACTAACAAAAAGAAATATGCAAAACAGGAATATCATCTTAACATAAATACACTCTGAGTTTAAATCTGGTTTCTTTCCTCTTGTTCCAAGGCTCAGTGTCAGATTTACGCAAGTGTGCAGCTCCTGGGAACCCTCAAATGTAAGATTTTTCTGATTTTTGGATATGAATTTGTAGCACTGTTTCCTTTTAGCTTAGACTACCATCAATGGCTGCTAGATCTAGATTTCAAGGTATTATTTGTGAAGAATCTGATGTAGTGTGATAGAGTAGAGGGCATTACTAAACAGGCTTCCCAGGCAATTTTTTTTTTTTTTTTGTACCCGGGATCGAATTTGGGACCTTGTGCTTGCAAGGCAGGTGGTGGCACCACTCAGCTAAATCCTCAGCCTAGGCAATTTTGATGCATTGAAGGGCCTGAGAACAAGTGACCTTATCATTCCCCACTATAGCTTTCTACCCTACATTATAAAGGACAGTGAACATTATGGTGGGTGTAGAAAAAAAGAGCAAAATACTGAAGTTTTAAGGACAATGTTGTACATATTCTTCCATTATGGATTTAAAAGATAATTTTGAAGGAAAAGATGATGTCATAAAAGCTGATATACAACTTCCCTGTACATGTCAGTCATAGATAGTGAATTCAGAAGTTAAGAAAATAATACCAAGCCCGACAATAATTATAATTGCAAAGCCCTCCTCAGCATAAGTGGCTAGTAAAATTGCACTACAAATCAAGTTCTCCATATGATTTTCAAAAGAAATGATCAATATTGAACATTGGTATGCAAAAGATCTGAGCTTTTTGTGGCCTAAGAACTTTCATATGGTGAGCACCCCATGAGAGAAAAATCCAAAGAAAATCAACGTAATTGCTTATTGGAAGATTGCTCATATTTTCTAATATGTGCAAAATAAAAAGCATCTCTATGAATAGCATCTTTCCTGCTTCAAGCTATTATGGAATACTGAGTAAAACTAATAATCAGTGATAGGAGACATATCACATAACATACTGAAATTCAATCAGGGGTAACATGCTGGGGCTCAGTGTTATTTTTTCTTTGGATCTAAAAAGTTTGTATACTCTATTTTAAGTACTCAAATACAGATTTGGATGAACTATATCATTGTGGGAATAAATCCCCAAAGTAGAAATTTCTTGCAACATCAATGAGAAATTCAAATATGACTTAAAACTTAAATATAAACAAGACACACACATGCATATTTATTTTCATGGGGTCTACAAAGCTTAAAAACAGTCAAACAATTTCAGATACAGAAAGTGCCAAATTAGCATAAATTTATTTTTGTACTTATTTTACACAAGAATTTTAAAATACATAAGGACAACTAAACAATGATTGTGAACAATCGTTTTAGCCTTTGTTTCTTTCTTCTTTAAATATAGACATTGACAGAAAAGATGGATTAAATGCAGTCTACTTTTTCCTCAGTTGGCTGATTTTTTAGAGAATTATAAACCATGAAACTAAACTGAGTAAATGTTGGCAGTTTACTGCAAGCAGCACCTTGGGTCGAAAAAGAGAAAGTTGTATAGTTAAATATAAGATGCATATATTTATAACCAATACAGATGTTGCTATTTACCTAGATACTGGCTATTGTATACCTATGTCAAGTAAGCCATATGGAAATATACTCAGTAATGAGTAGTTAATGGGAGGTAAAAAAGAGGTAGTAGGTAAGCTATCCTTTTAAACCTCAGAAAGGTAGCTGAGTTTTTTGGCTCCACATATGTGCTGTCTTTTCTACTCTTTTACCCTGTTGTCACATCCTTTTCTTAGAAGAAATTATTCAGGTACATTCCTACCATTTTATTCATAACCCCCGCCCCGCCACACACACACCACTGCTTTCTATTCTGTTCTACTCTTTATCTTTATAGAAGAGAGAAGAGTTATTTGTCAAGATATTATCTGTCTGACTTTATCTTTTGCTCAAATATGCAGACTGTGTATTATAGGAGGGCCTTTCTCCTGTCATTATGTTAAATATAAGGAGCTAGTCAATTTTAAATTCATATACCATTATATTAGTATTTTTCCCATCTTGTTAAATGCAACTTTTTTTTATAGTTTATTTCTTAAGAGGGAATTAATGAAACTGTCTTATTTTATACATAAAGGCTTCCCTCTCCCATAACTTTTACTGCCTTTTGTATCTTAGTAGTTAAAAAAGAATAAGGAAATCTTCAAAGTTTTTAAAATTCAGAAGTGTGAAATGTAAAAGATCAAAGAACAATAAGCAGCAGTCCAACCCAATAAGTCGTATTGATCAGTAAGCTGTATATGTTCTCTATCTGAAAATTCACTAATGAGAATCAGCAGTGGTTCATCTTCAAACGCTTTGAAACTGTGATAGGCTTATACAGAAAGTAAATGAAGCAAAAGACATCCCTCAAATATAGTGCAAAAATAATTCTGCAAACTTTTTAGGTTTACTAATCAGTAATATAACATATTTTGTTCTTTGGAGCCCTAAAAAGAACCTAAATGGCTAAACCATTTACCTGATGAATAGAAAAAGAAGTACGGAGGGTAATTTATTCCTACTTACTTCTAATTAGTAGAAGCATTTGACTAAATCAGTCCATTTCAACATGTCCTGGGCTCAAACTAAACTCCCTTTAGGATAGATGTAAAAGATAAGAACTAAGAGCCATAGACTAGATCACCAGCAGGCAATCACAGGTATATTTTTAATGCTTGCGGGACTTGACAGGTCATTAATTAACATTTACCCAGAGCCTACTCTACATAGTCCCTTTTCTTTTGAAAATAGTATATTGCACAATACACAATATATATTATATAATATATACATTGTACAATATTTTAAAGTGTATATTTTATAAACACTTGTAAGTTCACACAAATACAAAATCCAAATGTAACTTACCATAACTTCCAGTTACATTGGCACATATAACAGCCCCAAAGAATTTTGGAAAATGCTCCTGAATTCTTGAAATAGCTTTTTGGCAAGCTATGGTTGGATCCTCTCCTCTTCTCATATATTCTACTGCTTGGTAGCTGATTTAAACAGAGGTGAAATTTCAATACTAGAGAATAAATAGCAACTTCAAATTGATTTACGTAAGGTTAGAAATTTAAAATCACTGAGATTATCACATTGGATAGAATTCATATAAGTGAACAGGAAGTCAGTGACTCCTGATAAAGCTTCAACAGCAAAGTAAGTAAACCTTGATATGATGATTTTTTGGGGGGAAGCAGGACTTGGTTAAACAATAGTCACTTAGTAATAATAGAAGTCTCAGGAAACAGCAGTTATATTTAAATAAGAAAAGAAGCTACAAAAGAGAAAATATTATATGTGTACAAAACATGTAGTTGTATGATTAATTGTATACAATAATTATGCTTAATTTTAGCAATAACCACAGTTCCTTTACTTAGTGGCCCTACATCAATTATTTATCATAAATATTCTCATCTGTGAAGTAGGGTGATAAACAATGCTCTATTTCACAGGGGTATGATTACTTAATTTGAATGATCATTAATTAAATGATAGGTAAAAAGTTTGTTACATCATTTCTAAATAGCTTGTGTGCACAAATTCAAATTACACGATACAAAAACTTATTTTATACCTTGACAAAGAAAATAGCTCCATGAAAGAGCTCTGAAGTTTGCAAATCTAAGAAGTCATACCTTGGAAGGAAGCGCATCAGTAAATCTCCATCCCCAGTGGCTGCAGCTGCCCCTGAAGCATCATCAGCGTAGGCACCGGCTCCAGGTATGGGGGAATCTCCTATACGACTTTGTGAGCACAGAGGGTAAAGCATTTAGTCCAGGAAATCAGGGGTAAAGTAAATTATGTTATGAGCTGTTTCAAAAATGGGATATTTCCACATAGATACTGATCACTGTTTGAAATAAATTCTTCACCCAAGTACGGAGAGAAAAGGTGTTAAATCTTTAACTTAGATCTTCATAAACCTATATTAATTACATAAGAATTTGTTATCAGATGTGGAGTATAAAAAAGTTAAGCTTATAGAAATACAGGTTAAGTTCTGGTGGCCAGATGCTAGGGAGTGGGAGATGTTGGTCAAAGGGCACAGAATTTCAGTCAAACAAGAGGAATAAGTTCAAGTGATCTGTTGTATAACATGGTTACTACAGTAACTTAATAACAATACACTGTGTACTTGAAAATTACAAAAGGGGTATATTTTAAGTGGTCTCATCACAAAAACATAGGTCTGTGAGGTAATGCATAAGTTAAACAGCTTGGTTAACTATTTCACTGTTTGTATACATATGAAATCATAGTTTTTTACTTATCATTTGAAAATTAATTCCTAAAAATAACAGAATTTCTTATGCCAAGATGGCATACACAGATTTACAGTGACTGTTCTACTACTACCATTCTGTATTACCTAAATTCCTGGATTATCAACAGGTTCCAAAGGAGCTTCGTATCTATAAACTATTTCTGCTTGCCATGTAATGTGTCAAACTTTTACCAAAGTTTTTCCATGTAATAAATCTTTAAACTCTCCTACTATTTCAAAATAAAATCCAGAACTCCTTAAGACCCTTTGAAGCCTTTGAAATCTGGCTCCAGGCTTTCCTTGCCATCTTCCACTATTCCCTCCACTCTGGGCCATGCACAATACAAACTCCCATCAGTGGCTTGTCTCTCAGCCAGCAGAGGTCCTGAACCTAAAGTGCACACTACTGTATGTTCATCTTTCCTTTTTGTGGTCTAGGGACTCAGTTCCTTGCACCCACTTTATCGCCCTTCCTAACTACTTAGCTTAAACAGATCATCTCTGTCACCTCTGCACGGTAAAGCACTGGCTGTGATTCTTCCTTTGGCCCTTAGCAGACAGGAAGATCTTGTCTATTACATTTCTCTATCTCAGCTGTGAGGCTAGGGTTGTGCTTTGCATTTGGAATCCTCCATAGCACCTAGCACATATTGCTTTACTTTATTTGTTGGAGAAACTATTCATATGGAAACACTAACCCAGGTATTTTGAACTTTAGACCATTTGTAGAGGTACCAGCAGCAGTATGTCCCATCTTATGGATTACAATCATGCCTAGGAATGAAAAATGAAAAAAAGAAAAAAGAGAAAGAAATTAAGTACCTGAATTTTACCTCATATATAATTTTTTTAACCTCATATATAATTAAATAAGCAAGCAGTGGTAACATCTCAATATTTGGGCCCCAAAATTCATATGCTAAAATTTAATCCACAAAGTGAAAGATTTAGGAGGGGGATCTCTGGAAGGTAATCAGGCAGAGGACTAATAATCTGGCTTAGTATTCTTATAAGAGCACCCTCAGCGAGCTAGCTAGCCCCTTCTCCATGTAAGGACACAGAGAGAAACTGCCATCTGTGAAATGAAAAATGAACCCCCATTAGAAACTGAATCAACCAGCATGTACATCTTGGGTTTCCCAGCTTCCACAACTTCAAGAAATAAATTTCTGTTATTTGTAAGTCACCCAGTCTATGGTATTGTGTTTAACAATAAAAACTGACTAAAATAACAATATAAATATGCTTTCTTATTAATTTCAGATAGAAGAAATGAATAATTTTGGAATATTTAAAATTATATCAGTGGTATAATTTTGCATTTTAATGACCTAGTTTCATAGCATCATTTGATAGACATTCCATATCCTTACTCCTTAAAATGTTACTTTCAATACTTTAAAAAAAGTAATTCCAAATAAAATTTCTGAAATAGATTAATAGAAATTGTCACATTATAACTTGGAAAAATTGTTTAAGGTTTCTTTAATATTTCAAACAACATAAAAAATCAAATAACTAAGTGTCAAATAAAGACTTAAAATCCAAAAGTGAATAGTTATTGGATTTTGGGGGTCTTATGTAAGTAATTTACTGAACTATGTACAAATGATAAGGCAAGATTTTATATATATGTATGTATGTATGTATTGGTGGGTCATGCACTTACTGAGCAATTGAAATAATCAAAATCGATTTTTGGAACATGAATAGGAATAAAGAGGAAGTATAGAAGGGAATTAAATTTTAATCATGAAAACTATATAAAAGGTAAATTACCAATAGTATCATGACCACAGTCATCTCTCATTTCTTTATAGGTATGGCGGTCCTGCTTTAAGATGCCAGGTGGTTTGTAAGGTCCACAGTATTTTGAAGCATCTGGTATAACATTCTGTAAATAAGATTTGAGTTTTATTTTTAAGAAAGATGTTTTAGAAATTGGCAAGCAGTTATGTATGATCACTAAACACTAGTACAAAATCAAAAAGACATCTGGTAACTCAAAGCTTAAAGATTAGCTGTCTTATGTGAAAGTAGATGAATATGTAATTTTACTAAATTCCCAGGCTAGCCTCAGAATAACATGGTTTAGACATTTATACTACATGGAACAGATCACTGCATTTCCTCTTTATATGCCTAAAATTCTCAGCATAATAGGAGATATAAAGCTTTTTATTAGACACTAATCCTCAAAGGAGTAAGGTACACAACCTGACCTTTAGATTTCAGAACTTGTTCTCCAGATGAAGAATTCTGAGGTTTAAAGTAAAATCTGTTTTCAAACCTTTTTTATCATAGCCAAGTTTATATGAATATGTTCTGTGTGATACTCTAAAATTATCGTTAAACTTTAAAGGCATAAAAATATAATCCAAACTGATAAATTTAATTTGTTTATATATAATTCGGTAAAAGAATTTACTACAAGTTGAATATTCCTTATCTGATATGTTAGGACTAGAAATATTTTGGGTTTCGGAATATTTGCATGTATGTAATGAGGTATCTTGAGGATAGGACCCAAGTCTAAACATAACATTCATTAATGTTTCATAAGCATCTTATACAAGTAGCCTGAAAGTAATTTCAGTGTTTTTAGTGTGACTGCATTTTGAAAGCAATGCATCACATGAAGTGGTACAGATTTTTCTACCTGTAGCATCATGAAAGTGCTCAGAGTACTGGATTTTGGATATCTGGATCAGGGATGCTCGATACTCATACTTTATATGTTGGTGTACTAGGTACCTCCTATAACCTGGTTTTATGAACAGAGTCTTTCCAGTGATAACCCTTGATACTCATGATGAGTTGAGAAGGAAACAGATGAGAAACTGTAATATTCCACAGAAGGAACTTGTAAGGCAAAGGCAAAATGACTTATGCTAAAAATCCCATTAAAGACAATTACCCCACTAGTAATATACGAGGCACGTAACAGTGTAAATCCTCAAGTCGAACCAGGTCAAGGAACTGGATATGTTTCATACAAATAAAAATCTAACAAATATTTTAGACTAATATTTTCCAACCTTTGATTATTTTTTTAAAGACTGTGTCCCAAGGAAATACTAGCAGAACATCTCTGACAGAGGTAGCTTCACTCCTGCGTAGAACCTTTCATTTGCAAACTATTTTCAGAGGCCAGTAGCTCTGTACCCCAGGTGTGCATGAGAGGCTGCCAGGGAGCCATCAAAAGCATCCAGGCCACAAAAGACAGATAAATCATTGCTTCTAATGTGCAGTGCAGCCAAGACACTAACCAGCACCATTGGTAGGTTACAGAGAGCAGAAGGATGTCATTTACAATTTTCAAGTTATTTACCTTTTAACATTAAATGTGTATACATACTTTCCAATAATTTGGCTGGCAATTCCTAACGAGCCAATCTGAATGAAGAGCATGAGAAGCATTGGTAGATAAATCTTCCTTGATAAACCCCATACTCTCAGCAAACTTGGTGGCTGGACATTAGGAAGAAAAGCGTAAATTAACCAAGTTTACATGTACCATAAACAAAATATATGTACTATACGCAGTCTACATCAGCTATCTCTTGTGGGGTATACAAAGACTGTCAAAGGAGTTTTCAGACATAAATAGCTTTAGAGAAGTTAACTTCTAGCTTTCAATTTCTGTATGTCCTTTCTAAATTGATCTATTTGAAGCCCCTCATGGGTATGTTATGATAGTCCCCTACGCTACCTCACCTGAGCTGGCTTATTCTCTCCACTTTCCCAAAAAACAAAAGGCACACTTTTCACCAGTACCAAATCTTACTGCTCTAACTAGAGTGCAAAGCTCAAGGTGAAAAAGCTTTAAGATATCAATCAAGGAGATGAATGGATTCCATTGAATGAGTAAAAGATTCTGTTGTCAAACAGTTTACAATTCTGTACTTCCAACCAAATTGAAGGAAGTTTACTACACATTATAAATATTTCTGATTATATGTCACCGGTATCATCTTTGATATGTAAACTGGAAGGTGTTCAAGTAAGACCCTCCTCCACAGCAAACTCATTCAGTCCCATCTTATGTTAATAATGTTCTTGGGGTCTTATACGTATAAAAATGTAATACAGGAAGAAAACTGATGCTGAATCTAGTTTCCGTTCAGCAATTATTCATCCTACAGATAGTAAACTATTTTTAAAAATCCTATCTTCTTTTTTTTTTTGGTACTGGGGATCGAACTCGGGACCTTGCGCTTGCAAGGCAGGCGCCGGAACCACTGAGCTAAATCCCCGGCCCTAAAAATCCTATCTCAAAGACAAAGAAAGTTAGATTTAAAAGTTAAGAAACATGTCCAGTTAAACAGGTATTAAGTCCAAGAGCTGGAATTGAATTTAGGTCTGCTTTTATGTCTATTTTATATGGGTTCGTATTTTTTTTTTTTACAGTGACAACTATAGACAAAAGACTAGAAAAAGTTTCAGAATAGTTAAAAAATACCTGACTCTCCTACTAGAAGTGTGTGTGTTGTATGTTCCAATACTTTCCGTGCCACACCAATAGCATTTTTAATTCGCCTAAGATCTCCTACTGCTCCTACATCCATAGTAGTGCTGCAAGAAATAAATGCAGTAAAGTGTATTAAAGTATTTTCATAGGTTCAAAGATAAACAATACTGCATTTCTCCATGCAATGTGTTGTAGGATAAATTCCATCATCTTAACACAAAAGTGAAAGTACAACCGTGAGTTCCATAGGGTCCCACAGTCAGACAAAATTACAAAAAAAGTAGAGGGCCAGGGATTTAGCTCAGTGGTTCTGCTGCCTGCCTCAAAAGCACAAGGTCCTGAGTTCGATCCCCGGTACCAAAAGAAACAAACAAACAAAAAGTAGAAATTCAATTTACCATATATACCAAAGCACTAAAATTCTGTTTTACTTAGCTTATTTTAAATCTGGATTCTGAAAGAGGTCTTACGGTTTCTGGTCAAACAAACTGCAGCATTCGTGGATGCCAAGTATATGACTATTTATAGGTCAGAGGTTTATTTTTATAGCTTAGGATACTCCCTGAGATTATCTACCTTCTTGATTATTTCTACTATTAGGGTTTTTTTTTCAATTGAGAGGCAAAGTCTTTGTGTTTAGAAAGGCCAATTACAATAAGGTAGTTTGACCTATGACAAGTCACACATTTTTCCATCTTGTTCTTCAAGGACTACAGCTCTAAACGTAATTAAGCAAGCAGCAAAGTGCAGAGATAAATAGGTCCTGGTATGGCATTCTTACCCATCCATGATCATTGCATCCAATGTTGTTTCCCCACGTTCATCAGGACTTCCTCCAAAGCCTACAGAGCCATCACACTGTTCGCGCTCACACATGGCACAGCCATTCTCAACTGCGTCCAGGGTAGACCCTCCAGATGCTAATGTCCGCCATGCTGTTAAATCCCAATAATGCTTGTTTATATTTATATATGTTTTCAATGTCAAATGCACTGAACCAAAAACATTTTGAAAACTCCCATTCAAATTGTTTTCATATTTAAACTGAATTTTTAACAAGTTAATCAAGTAATACAAAGGAGTTTTCAGAGAAAGGAGAAAAAGTATATCACTACCTGTAGCCTAGTGCAAAGGCCCCAGGTTCAATGCCCAATTCAGGAAAAAAAAATCAAACTAGCTATTGGTGCACTGAAGATTTATTTCACTTATCAATGCTTACTTCTTCTGCATAAACAAGTATCCTCTTCTTTATTTATTTTCTGCTACTAGGGACTGAACCTAGGGCCTTTGCACTGAGCTATATCCCCAGCCATTTTTTAAACTTTTATTTTGAGACAAGTTAGCTAGGTCACTAAATTACCCAGGGTGGACTAGAACTTGTGATCCTTTGGCTCACATTCCCAAAGTATTGGGATTACAGGCCTGTGCCATCACACCCAGTTTCCTTTCCTTTACTCTAAAAGGCACAAATGAAACCACTCAAAGGCAGTTAAGTTTAAAATCTATTAAATCACATAAATTGCTTCTACATCCATAGAGTATTAAAAATATTCATAACTTGTACTGTCGCTGAGGCAACACCTATTAGCAGTAACACTAACAGCAAATAATGTAGGTTTCATAGGATTAATTCATTTTATATTTACAATAGCTTTTGCTGTAGTACTATGTATAATTACAATTTTCATTTTACACAAAAAGTAACAGTCAGAGAGGTTAGGTAAGGTCTTCAAGGTCATCCAACCATTTCTTAAAGTAGTCTCTTTGACTAGGGTACTTTTAGTACTACGCTGTTCTGTGGACCCTACCCAGTACGTTGTGTGTGGGTATGGGGCTGGGGTATCATCAATGGTCAAATTCATAAGCAATAAAAAAGAGAATTTCTTTACTAATAAAAAGAGAATTCCTTGAAGGGTAGGTGCTACTGTTGATAAGCACTAACTGATCAACACTATTGGACCTACAGGCTTGAAAATAGATTTTTAAAAGTACTTTCACTATAGGCAACTTACACAGAATTGTCCCCTGCCCAGGCTGCTGGACTTGCTGTTTCATTATTGCTGAGGGTATCTTCTTTCACTTTGATTTCTCATGTTCTCTGATTTCATATGCACTACCTGTAAAATACCAATCTACCTCTACTAAATTCTGGAGCCAATTCTTCTCTCAGAAAATATACTAGCAGCCTCAGAAGTGGGTCTAAAATTACTCCTGTAGTAATATGTGTTGAAGCACATTAAAGAAACAAGCATGACACTATGTGAAAACCCCATGATTATGGTATATACAGGATAAGATCAAAGCACACAAGCTAGGAACCCAGTGGGCAGCATGGAAGGAACTCCAGAGCATACTTCCTTAAAAAGGTGATACCTTAGCTTTGTGGTTCTCAACCCTCCCTGATTGCAAATGAAAAATCATACAGGAACTTTTAAAAACATGTCCTGCTTCCAGGAGTTAGAAAAATCTCAGGAAATGGGGCCCGGGCAGACAACATGATTCCTCAGAAGATCCACAGGTCATTTTAATGAACATCCTAGCCTGGTACCCCACATTTTAGGTGACAAGGATAGCATGTCAGTACATAGCAGCAAACGTAAGTGGGAAAAGTGAGAGTCTGGGAAATTATTAGTTGTTTGTAAGAATGGAATACTAGGTACTGAAGTGAAGTGAGGGGTTAGAAAAGAGAGGTGAAGAGGCCGACGAAGACAACCCGTGAGAAGGTGAGACGACTGCGTGTTTGACAAAAACCAGCGCGGGTGCCACTGGAGAGTAAAAGCAGAAAGGCCGCAACACACTGGCGGGCCCAGTAAAGGGCGTAATCCTCAGCGACAGGGCCTTAAATGCGGGAGGGGCAAGGAGGATGGAGTAAAGGCCAGCTGCAAGCCGCAGCGGTGCAGGAAGGACTGGAGATTGAGATTGCGTGAGGCCCGGTTAGTGGGGCGCTCGCCGGGCCTCCCCGCGCCGCAAACTTCAGCGGGTCCAGTCCTTCCCCACAAGGGAGCTTCTGCAGTGCAGCCACCCGCCCCGGCCGCCACCCCGCACCTGCTTCGGTTGCATTCTTAAAAGGCCAAGTGTTGACGACCAGGGGCAGAGGGCTGGAGCCACGCACTAGGGCCGGGCTGAGCAGGAGTGGCACGACAATCAGAGTCACATTCGACTTCCGCAACATCGCTGCGAGCTGAGCCGAACAACGCCACAAAGGTCGCGAGCGCGGCCGCCAGCTGAGACCCGACAGGCCGCGCGCGCTCACGGAAATCCCGGTCGTCCGCAAAGACCCGCCCACCTGGAGACCGCGCCCACTCTTCGGGCTCAGTGTATTCTCCCTGAACTCTCGCGAGATGTAACCTTTTCGGGGACCGCGGAAGTTCTTTGTCGATGGTGCTGAGGTTATTGGTCGTGAGGTGTTTGGTCATGGAGTATTTATTCTTAGGTGCGATGCAGTTTTTTTTTTTTTTTTTTCCGTTTAAAATAATAAACTAAACTGCTACTTTCCAGATTCTTAAAAGGTAGATTGAGCCTCACACTGGAAAATTAGTATGAAGTTATGCAACCCTGGGTTGCATGACTTTAGGAACTTCTGGTAATTGGTGTGTACTATTTAATTTAGTTTTTACTTTATTCTCTTAATTAAAAGTTGAAGTTGAAAAGTTTACCAAACCTAAAATGTGCTTTGGAATTCCACAGACACTCACTCATTCTGTGCGTGGCCTCCCACCACAGCCTTTTTTAGTAGGACGTTCTCTGGTTGTAAATCCCTGAGCTGAAAGAAACGGACAATCTCGGAAAATAGAAATGTACCCTCTGCATAGCCCACTGAAAGCCGCGTTCTGGTGCCTCTAGGCAAGAATACTACCTCCATTCTTTTTTGAACGAATTTTACTTTCGTGCCTGGCACCATTAAGTATTAAATAAATGTTTAAATAAAAGGAGGGATAGAGAGTTTACATGCATGGTAGAGGCTGTTCATTTTGATAATTCGGTGGCTGCACAGATGTGTGAACATGGACCAGTAATCCCTCTGGGGCTCAGAAATGCTTGCCCATGTATCTAAAGACAAATAGTTGTGAAGAACATCTATAAATCTATCCTGACTTGTAAAATATGAACTCGACGGAAGTTGTGAGGCTTAAAAAAACCTTCAAAACTCTTACTGCTAGAAAACAATATGTAATTTAAACAGCATAAAATACCATAGAAGAATAAAGGCAGGGAACTGCTATTTGAAAGTTAAGTGTAGTTCAAAGGAACTGCTATAAATTCCTTCTGTGGGATTTTGGAGGAGGAATGAGCCATTTGTGCTATTAGGTGATAGGTGAAAGGTGAAACAGGTTAAGAAAGCCAGAAAAACTTATGTTGTCCTTTGAATGGATTTTTCATAGCACCTGAGCTGAATATTGTTTATACAGACTAAAGAACTGGGACATGTCTCCAGCAAAAATTGTAAAATACTCTACATGGGAAATTGGTCTCAGTGCTGGCAGCATTCTATAGCCTCTTCCTAGCTCTTCAGGTATTTGTGTTTCTCCAACTAGAAGAGCCTAAATTTTACCTCCTACTAAGGTAAAAGAGTATTTACTCTTTTCTACAAAATTTTCTTTCCTTACCTGGAATCAAAATCCTATCAGAGAAATTTATCTCGTTTATTGGTTGGAGGAAAACAGCTAAATTATTTGCTAATCCAAATGCCAACTTTCTCATAAATATTTCTATTTAAAATAATTTGCAATCTCAAAAGAATCTAGTCTTTTTAGTGACTATTAAAATACCAAGTGGATCCAATTTGCCTAAATTTAGTTGTCTTTCTAGCTAAGACTTAAAGAAGTTAATCTAGTTTAGATACTTGGTTTCCATCTGGATTATTACTTGTTTTTTAACTAAGACTTGGAATACTTTAACCTTCAGACCTAGAAGTCTACTTGGTGTTGGTCTCAAGTTTTCATTTATGCCTTAATATATTGGGATCCTTCTGCTTTTTTAGAGGAAAATCTAAATGAAAAAACATTTGTTAACAATTAGGTGGGTAGACGTTAACAATATAGTTTTCCTAGAATCCTCTTTAAGTTTTATGCAATCATTAATTATACATAATACTCAAGATACAGTGTTCCTGAGAAATCCAAAAGATTTAAAATAATTTTATTTAAATCTAAAATATATTACACAGTTTTGTTTGGTAAATGTTTGTTCCTAAATTGAACTTAGAGCTAACAATACTTCAGGAGTTTTTCAAGGCCTAAATTTTAAAACTGTATATCAAGTATGATTAATTTTAGTTTTCATAAGACACACTTTCCTCATCTATAATAATAGTGTTCTTTCTTATTGTACAAAGTTTTGTGAATGAAGTAGGAGATGTTAGACAATGTTAGAGTACTACTTAACTAAAATACTGATGTTTTAATTGCTATTTGTCAGATATTTATCAATTGGTGTCAGCAGTCCAGAAACATACAAAGCAGCAAAACGAAATTTGAGATACAGAAATTTCCACAGGAATAAAAGTCGGCTGAATACCTAGAATGCATTTTAAAGTAAGCACTTCGAATTTTCTTGTATATTAAATAGGAGTTAAAAACATTTTCAGTCTATTTTGATCTGTCTAAAATTTAAGTTTATATAGATAGTTCATGGCAGGGTTATGAGATTTCTTAATGTCTTAAAAAACAGCATCTTCAAGTCCTACCAAGAAGAAAGTCTCAAATGGAATATTAAATGATGTTACAAATAGAACCATCTGCTGTGTGTGCGTGTGCACGTGTGTGTGTGTGTGTGTGTGCGTGCATGTGTGCATGTGTTTTAGGTTGAGGGGGGAGTTTCAGGCAGCTGCCTGCTCCCTTCCTTTTTCTATGAACTTCATGGCTTTCAATTTATCAGTCTCAGAAGGATGAAGAATTGAGTCTCTCCTGATAGCATTTGAAGCTGTGGTTCCGCAGAGGATTTAAGGCTGTAGTTGCAGGGAGTCTAGGTATTTCAAATCTGAGGCTTAAAAAACTAAGCCACCCCCTCCGGCTTTTGCACTGATGCTGTGAAATCCATTTGAGAAACATGCCCGTGTTTTGCTACTTGTTCAAAGCTGTAAGCGTGACTTGGCATTGAAATAATAATTCCTTTTCCAAAACTCCCCACTGTACTATTACCTGGGTTATCAAAATACAGGCTATTTGTTTGATTGGCATTTGCTCCTACCAATTTTGTAAACTGTAGGTAATGATTTTTGCTGATGTTAGATCATTGTCATACTGTATTTCTAATTTAATTCCCTTTTGTGCATTAATCCAGGAACACCTGATGGTACTACCTGATCATATATTATGGATGTAGAGTTATATAGAAGTTTCTCATTCGCTAATGAGAAAAGAGAATATTGTTCCTTTCTGAGATATTTTTTTCTGTGTCATGCCCTCAAAATTGTTTATCAAGTCAGTAAAAGATTCAAATCACAAACTTTAAAAAAATTTTTAACCTTAAATGTCATTGTGGTGACTTATAAAGACCAAGATTATATAGTAGAATATTGACCTAGTAAGTGATTTTTTTTTCCTCTCAAACCAAGTTATGTGCAACATATTTTAGATTTGTGATACTAGGACACTGCTATAATAAAGTTATTATAAGGAGGCTACAGTAGCTCATTTAACATATTGGACACTGGTTTTTATGACAATTGTTTATAACATCATGATGTCTTCATGAATGTGATCCATTACTACATTAAAGGCTCAAGCCTTAGGGCAACAATGTCAAAGTGATACTTAAAGTGATAGAACAAACTTAATGTTTTCCTATTGCTTTAAGTATCACTTTGACATTGTTTACTAGTGGTACAGATGATTTTAATAAGTTCAACAATAAATGCAAAATTCCAAAGTAACAATGACTTACAATAAGTACTTTATTCATTTAAAATTATTTTCATCTGTTGATTATTTTAAATGCAAAAATATATTAGTGGTGAACACTTCTATCTTGTGTATAACTAGGCAAATAGTTTCTCAGTGGCCCATATAAATATTTAAAAGGAAAAAAATAATTTTACATGTGATGTAGTATTTTTTCTTTCATTTTTAAGAAATACTTATGTGTTCTTCACATATCCCAAAGTACTTTAGCCTTTATTGAAAATATCAACTTTTTAATATTTTAGTATCTAACTGATGAAAAATGTTGCTGTTATATACAGTGTTGTATAAACTGCTTCTTAATATATCTTTAACCTCTTTACATGTCATATGCTTTGTAAAATTTTTATTGTGAAATATAAATAAGAAAAAGGCATAAAACAAGTATATAAAGAATTTTGTAGAAAACTTACACCCCCATAATCACCACTTACATCAACATGTATTGTCGGCATCTCCAAGATCCCTTATTTCTGCAACAAATTTTTTAAAGGACTTTATATTTTGTAAGAGCAATTTTTTGTTTATAACATGTATTTTTAAAAATTAAGTTTATTGGTACAATTTACATATACATAATAATCACATTCATCATATGGAATTTGTACCTGTACATGATATATCTTAATTCTTATTTTTTTCCTCATTTCCCTCCCCTCCCTTCAACCCTTCTTTCCCTCCTTATTTACAAAAGCTTTATTTCTGTTTGTGTTTTCATTTTTTTGCCCTTTTCCATTTCTTCCTTTCCCCCTCCCCCCTCATTAGTGCCCCTTCTCATTTGAACTTTTTCTTCCTATTTCACAATTATCTATTATACATTTTGGTCCTTTTTTAGACTTTCAATTTCTCACACCAGAGAAACAATGTGATATTTACACGTGTCCGATTTATTTCATTTAAGAGTATGGTCTCTAGGTGCATCCATTTACCTATAAATATCTCAAGTTTATTCTTCTTTGTGGCTGAATAGTTCTCCATTGTATACAAAACCACATCTTCTTTATCCATTCACCAGTTGATGGGCGTTTGGGTTGTTTCCAAGATTTAGCTATTACAAACTGTGCTGCTATGAACATGAGTGTGCATATATTACTGTGGTATGATGCTTTGAATTCTTTCAGGAAGATACTGAGAAGGGAGATAGCTGTGTCAAATGGAACCTCTAGTCCTAGTTTTTTGAAGAATCTCCACACTGATTTCCACAGTGGTTGTACCAGTGTACACTCCCACTAACAGTAGAGAAGGGTTTCTTTTCCCCCAAAGTCCTACCAGCATTTGTTATTGGTTGATTTCTGGATAATAAACGACATAGACACTTACCAATTGATTTCTGTTGTCTTTTAAATTTTTGGTGTTTGTATATAAAGAATTTTTCAGAATTAGGCTTTCAGGTATTACACTGATTTTATATAACATATGGTGCATATAGGAATTCAGGACACATACTGGGCTCAGGTAGTGAGCAGAGTTAGCTCAGTCTGTAACTAACACTGGGATTTCTGAAGAGTCCAGAGAGATTTAGAGAGTTAGCTGGTCTCCAAATTCAGAGCGAGTTCAGGAAGTCAGGGTTGGAGAGAATGTTATCACAAGAGCTTCCTTTCTAAGCAAGGGACATTTCAATGTTCCTAACATCTTTATAATTTTCTCTAGTTGCAGAATTGAGTAGTTGTAAATCTAATTGCAGCACAAAGGATTGATGACACTCAGTTTATTTGTCTGAATTACTGGATGGTCTATAAAGTCCTGAATCACAAATCTTTTTAAACTCCTTGAATTTCATGCATTTATGGTTATAACTAACTGTTAAATTGTTTTAATCCATTTTAAGTGCTTTCAGTTGCAAATAACAGAAAACTTGAAGGAAGGTGACTTAGTATTAGGGATTTACTTTTTTTGAAACTATGTAGAAAGCTGCTGGCATTAGTTCAATATCTTAAAAATGTTGGAATTTACTGCTTGCCTTCTGATCACAAGACAAGCTACTGTTGCTCCAGACAGGTACTCACATTCAAAGGGAGAAAGTCTGGTGTCAGCCACATCTTATTTTTCCCCTTTTTATTCGCAAAGTAAAAGGATTCCTAGGGACTCTAAGCAGAGTACTATTTTATTCTCATTGGTTAAAAAGATGTCATTTGCCCTTTTCAGCAAAAGCTACAAAAGTCACTATGTTTCCTTTAACATTTTTTTTATTTTGTTTTAACTTTCTTATTTTAACTATTTTTATTTTGAAGAGTCGACTTCACTTCTAGATAAGCATAGTATGTAACAGGAACACACACACAGAAGCAAGAGCTCAGACACTTATATAACCTTGAAAATTTAAGACATGTAAATTTCTAGAAACTTTAAGGACTTTGGACTTCATCAGAGTATATATTTGGAGTCTGAATAATCTTATTTAGCTTTCAAGAATCAAAGAAGCTCCAGTCAACATCAGAATTATGACTGTGGTGCTCAGTGGGAGATTGAAAGGAAAATGGCTATTTTCTCTCTGGGATAAAAAGATTTCTGAGAATAAGAGATTAAAGAAAAATAGAGGAATTAATCTTGATATTCCTGATCTTCTCTAGGGGTAGTAAAAATCACCTACCAGGATTGCAGTGGGTTTGGAATAGAATTGGTGATTAGTAATTCGTGAAGCATTTTAGATGATTTATTATGGAAAGCCTCATAAAGATGAACAAAGAGGAACAAAAAAAGACTGCGGAGCATGGATGGAGATTCACCTGAAATCAAGAAGCCTGATACGGTTTAATCCTAATTAATTGCAGTCTTTTTAGAACACCTAAATTATAACATTAAAAGTGAGAGTTATCCCGTGCTGGCCAGAGAGTCAAGTTATATAATGGTAGATATATTGGTAATGGTGATAGTGGCAAAGACTACACTACAGAATTGGAAAGTAAGAAGGTTATAACAAATGATTTTCATATGCAGCTGGCTATAGTATTCTGGGCTTTAAAGGTAGCAAATTGAAGAGGGTGATTTTACCATTTCAGGTAGCCTTACCCTTGGAAACCCCAATAATTGTTCTCTTCTTTTTTCTTTTCTTTTTTTTTTGGTACTGGGGATCGAACTCAGGACCTTGCACTTGTGAGGCAGGCGCTGGAAACACTGAGCTAGATCCCCAGCCCCCCTTCTTTTTTTCATTCCTTCTTTTATTATCTCTTTCTTGCTTCTTACCTTCCTCCCTTCCTGCTTCTCTACATCTTTCCCTTCCTTTGCTTTCCTCTTCTCCCTTATTTTCAAGTATTTATTGGTTGCCTATTTTTTTTTATTTTTGGTCAGGAATGTTTTTATGCTATGGACACATAAAAAAAAAAACAAACCAGTATTCTTACTCTGGTGGAACTTATCTAAGCTACTAAACAAATATATAGTATGTTAAAGAGCCATAGAAGCCATTAAGGAAAATAAAAAAGTATAATTCCTAGCAACATAGATTACTAGGATGAGATGCTCATGGTGTAGTGTTGAGGAAGGGTTTTGAAGAAAGAACTTTAAAAACTTGCCAATGACTTGCATATGAGATAGAAAGCAGAGGAGTTGTTTGGCAACAAAACTTATGTAGGTTGGACAATACACAATGGGACTAGACATAATTTGGGGATTTAGAATGAGAAATGGCTAAT